GTCTGTTTTAATAAATTAATTCAACGACGTAAATTGCATTTAATAGTTTCAATGATATAATTTAGTTATATCGATATGAAAATATAATCTACAAATGCTGAACCTAATAGAGAACTTATTACGTACAAATAAAGTTGATAGAGCTTCCAGGGACTAAATGGTAGGTGCATATGGCACAAAAAAAATCTATACTATCAGCTATATCAGATGTATGCGGAAGTGCTTCGAAACGAAAAGCAAAAATTCAATCATATATGCACAGAACCAACATAATCTTGTTATCTATAGTAGGACAAACCCTTATTGTTCATTGTATTTTCCGTTCTCATTGTTAAGACAATGGTGCGACCCTAAGATGAAACTGCGAGATGGTAATGTCACAATGAACGAATGAAAAGAATTTTTTAGAAGGGATAATAATAATGGCACAAATATGATTTGTACGAGCAGAATTAACTTAATAATATTCTTCAGTATTCTACATTCTTTAGGCAAGTTTCCCAACGGCAATTATGCTTCTTTTAGAAATTTTGTTGAATCCAGTGCAAGCGCCCGCACTAAAAATACCTAAATACATTGTCATTTTCAATTGGCCGATGATCATCCATTACTCTTTTCAAAAGGCCGCAGTGACGTCCGTTACTATTTACACCGCATATAATTTTTTCTTTGGTCAAGCTGGTCAAAGCGACAAAAATAATAACGAAAGACATGTCGTTTAACCTTACCTCCGCTAACAGCCGCAGAGGTATCACTTCAAATAGAAGAAACGTACTTAATCGTCCTTCACGGCGAAAACAAGCCACTAAAAAACAGCCACCGAAGAACGGTAACCAGTGAACCGGAGCGTTTAAATTCGTTGGCTGTCTTGACTTTATTAAACATATATGGTCAAAAATCTGTTGCTCAAGCTTTTGGCTTTACAACTCTTACTTTGTAGAAACCGCCATTGTTGCGACCGGTTCTTGCCGTTACGACAGTTCTCTCGGTCTTCTCACAAAGAAGTTTGTTTGTCTCTTAAAAGAAGCTAAAGATGGAGATTTAGACCTGAACACAGCGGCCACTGAATTGAAAGTACAAAAACGTAGAATATACGACATTACCAATGTACTAGAAGGAATTGGATTAATTGAAAAAAATTCAAAAAACCATGTTCGTTGGAAGTATGTATTATAATTTATTTAAAAGAGTCTAGGACTTTCATAACGTTCTTTAATAAATGTGTGATATAATCGCGTAAAATAAATAAATTCCAAAATCATCACCATTGATAATCCATCAATGTAGAGGTACACAATTACAATCAGCATCTTCACTACGCCAGAATTATAAAACAAAAATTGAAGAACTTCGAGCGGCAAATGCCACACTTGAAACTGAGCGACTGGAACTTGAAAAGGCCAATCAAAATGTGGATATTAATATTAAAAATATATATGAAGCTGAAGAAAGGTTTGTTTAGATATTTTTATTTAAACCCATTAATGCATGATCCAAACACAATTTCATTATTCTTGTCCCTTACTTGCCTTTTAATAAAGATTCACCTATGTATATAAATCGGAAATCGAAAAGATTAACTCTTTCCATGAAGATATATTGATTGCAGTGAAGTCTCTTCCAGGGATACCCTTGCAGATGTCCGAGGAGATTGAGGTAACACTATGATCATATGATGTTATGGATCAATATAGAGTTAGGCCAATCATTGATTTGCGCTCTATCTGAATAGAATGGACAAACGAATCGACCCTTATACCAAATTCACATACGCGATCCAAGTGGTCAGCCATTTTACATTCTTCAACTTTCGGATAGTAATCCAGAAGACCATTTCACCATAACGAATAGTCATTATGGACTAGGAAATATGTCGTCACGTGCATTCACACAACCTAGTCCACCATTGAATATTCATGATAATGGTCCACTCCGTCTCAACATAGCACTTCCTCCACCTTATCCTCATCCAACCTCAACGCCAACTCCTCCTGATGAGGACTACGATATGATTTATGGTAGTATGGACGATCATCGTTTACACTATCGACATCAGCAGCAAGTCTACCACCGCCAAATCTATAATCGTCCTCATCGTCAACAATATCATCGTCGCTCAGAATTCGGAATTATTGACGATGGAAATGACAATTTTGAGCCTATATATCCATCATTCGGTGCAAGAGATTGTGATTTTGGGACACTCAGGCATGAAAGTCGAGAGGGACTAGACATATTTGGACGAGATCTCAATCAAAAGATGAGAAGTGACCATCTCCCATAATACGGAGGTATTATGTATTAAAATTATAATGTTTGCAAAGAATGCAGACAAATTCAAAGTCAAACTTTGAGTCAGTAAAATATATAGAATAATGAGGTTTGCGAAAATAGATATACTCAAAAAGATGACATTACCAATAATTAGATCATCGACAATAGAAAAGTTAGACTGTAGAGTTCATATTAGTATGAAAAAAATGTTAATGCATCACATGAACACATAATTCCCTGTATATTCGCAAATAGATGGACATTGGATTTTTTTTTCTACTTTTTTCTTTTTCTTGTTTTTAACGTAGAGTTGAAGAAACAATAACTTGTAAGAACTTTAAATAATATAGAATATGGTCTCGTCAGAAAATAATGGCGGCCCATCTTTTTACTATAATTTTTTTTTTTTTTGCAAAGTTAGCCTCAAACTCATCCCAAAGATTAGTGTTTTCAATGCAGACCTAAATACAATCTGGTATGCTGGTGGCACATCCAAGAATAGGGTTCTGCAAGTGCCGTTAAAACATAGTGCCTGGGCTACCAGGCCTATGTGTAAATGGCAATGTGCCAAACATTTGCAGAACCCTACCCAAGAGACATGTACTTCTTTTTTTGTTAGTGATTTTAACCCCTGGTCAAATTTCCTCGATTAAAGATTGGATAAAATTAAATTTCAGCTGTTGCGCCACTATAATGGTCGGTAGAATAAACTAATAGAAAAGATAGTGTATGTCACCATGAGTTGAACAGTTGTAGCGGTGTCTCAGATTTACTTATAGTTCATCTCGGATCAATTAATCATGAATCGGCAATATTTTTTTTTCTATTTTTTTTTTCTATTTTTTTTTTCCTTTTTTTAGTCAATGTATAATCCCTAGAAAGTAAGTGCGTCCAAAATTTTTCTTCTACATGCACCAAATGAATATGTGCTTTCGCAGGACAATTTTTACAGGGTGCACCGTATACCCGATCAGTATGATTTCCCCTGCTGCACCCACAAAATTTTTCCGGACACGTGATTTTTAAAGTTCATTATGTCACTAACGATTAAAATTTTAAAGTTCGTTTATGTTAGGGTTAGTGTTTACTTTAGAGTTAGATGTCAGACAAATTTATAGTAAAATGCCTCGAGGAAAATTTTTTTATTAAGACACAAAAGGTGATTTCTTATGCTCATTTTCAAGAAATATGCGATTTTTGACTTTTTTTTGACAAAGCGAACGTTTGTTTTGAATTTCCTGATCGTGTAACG